TATAATATTTCGCGTAGCCGCAAGTGAGTTGGCCTTACCCCCCACCCTCGAGTTATTAGTTAAAAGGCCCGAATTATTTGTTATATTAATATGTTGTGATACGAGTAGAATACAGACAGTCAATTTATAAATCCCCCCGAGTTATTATTGAAAATCCCCTCCCTCTTATTATTTCAGGCCCTCCCATAAATTATAATAAAGTTCCCTTTCATTTTTCAGATTATCGTAACTTCCCCAATATCGTGCCTTCGCCGGGAATTATTATATTTTAATTCCCCGGCCAAGATCACAAGGTACAATATGCTAATTATCCTTCCGACAATAATAATTTGCTGGGTGGCGTGATCCGAACTTAGACAATGATTCGCGATCGGGTATGACTAACAGTTGTACCCCCAATGCTGTCTAGAAATTTTTCAAATCGGTCACGTAAAAATTACCGTAAGTCACGTGAAATTTAAGTGAAACTGGATAATTTTTACGTTACTCGGAATAATTTTTACCGGAACTGTGGTAAGTTTTACAAATCGGTAAGAAATTACGTGACAGTCACGCAAATTTTTCAGAGCAAATAATAAAATTTACTGTTCGGCTCTCATTTTTTCCCAAATTCACCCATAAAAAAAAAAGGAAACGACACTCCAGCCCACGATTACGTGATTAGTGACGTAATTTTTCCGGTGTCTTTCTCTCCGTGTACCCGCAAATATGATTTTTCGCGAATAACTCGAAAACTACGCTAGATGTAGAATAATGCTCGAATAGACCTTGGAGAGTGGAAAATTCGGCGTAAAAAACGTATGAGGCGCTTTATCCCTATTTTCTACCGTTTATCCTCGACAGGTGTTCAAACGTACGACAGGCGAACAGTTGAATGAATTTAGTGGCGATACCGAACACGACCCGGTACCATTTCTCGAAAAAGTTCTTGGCAAAACGGATCAGCTACGAAAACCGGCTGGAATAGAATTCACTCACCTAGATCGTTGTACGTCATATAATTACATGAATACTTCCAACGAAGTTAGTTTCAAGATTACTCTCTCGCTGAGTGGTTTTAAAAATACCATTGATTTGAACAATTCAATTAAACAAGCATTCGACGAATGGAAAGAGACTATTCAATTTTGTCCTCATTGCAACGAGTATGTTAAGTTCACTCGAAAGATGAGAGTACACTCAACTTCTGATATACTTATTGTGCAATTGAATATATTCAACATAAATACAAAAAATATCAAGCAGAAAATGGAGAATTGAAAATTGAAGACGGTGGCAACTTCCGTTTCTGTTGTTAGTAATCAATATTCTGTCAATATTACTATGCTTGATTGTGCTATGAAGTGTGATCACTATACCTGCTGACTGAGAGATATTCCAAATATTTGGGTTAACATAGACGATACAGTTATTTCAAAAAGTCTTTGGCCACGAAATGCAAAAGATGTATATATATTATTTTTGGAGAGAAAAAAATGAAGATCTGGAAATACGAGAACAATCTGAAAAGTCATCCTTCCTTTATGACTATGACACCCTCGATAAAACTGAATGTATATGTCTAAAATTTGTCTCAGGCCCTTTTCGTTGGGTCGACACGTGAGTAATTTTGAGGGAAACTAATCTGAGCAGTTATAGGACCCCTCAAAATGTTGATTATCAAATTCAACCCTGTGAGGACTATTATCATTCATTGTACTATAACGTGTTCCCATGCAAATTATGGAAAGATGTTGTAACGGGATTTTCGGAAATCCCGCACATTAAACTAAATTATGGGTTAAGGTCTCTAAAACTTCTCCCATCTCGACTCTCTCCCGGGAATTACTCGAATCGTCGAAGGGTGTGGGGACTGGGGCCCGAGTGCTTAGGGTGTTAGGAGGCCTGAAGACAGGCAACAGCACAGGGCAGACACGTGGAAACATTCCCAGCTCCCCTACGAGACTTGCTGGCATATGGCATAGGACTCATACTTGCGTATGAGCGCTCCATGTTAGATGGGGTGGGCATTCGAGCGGCTGATCCTTCGAAGGGGTTGTTCGAAGGGATCCATGGCGACGTTCGAATTCGGCGCGCTCCAGGAGAGGCTAATGCCAGGGATATCCTCCCTGCGGCGAGGGCAGCACGTCCCGGCACACGGCAGTTCACCACTGATCTCTATATATAACTGGATAGGGCATAGCGTATAGCCGATACGGGACGAAAGCGTGCTGGATAGGAGCGACATCAGTGCCCCTATCAAAATACCAGCGTACTATTGGAAGTGTTAGTGCGCTTGCGTGACTGAAAAACGAAAGGCAGGGATGGTCATCAATCGAAGAAATGTGACGGCAGCCGTAACCCCAAAGTGTTGTTATTTTTCTGTACGAGTAGTCGATTATATTGTGAAAAATGTCCCATTGCAGTTTTTGCAAAAAACGAAAAGAAAAATATGATCATTTATCTTTCCACGGGTAAGTACAATTTTTTATTTCTTCTATAATAATGGATTTATAATAACCTTTAAGCTGAAAAAAAGGAAAAAAATAAACAACCTAGACTAGCTGGACCAGTTCTATTTTTACTCTGAATTAGGCAGAAAAATCAAAAATCTTGTGAAAAGTGATGTCTGTTTATTCTCTCTGATATCAATTTAATATACTTTTAGTCGAAAGTTTATTCTTCTGTAATTTTTGATAAAAATGGAGAGCTGCTTGTGTGTCGACAGTGTTATTATTGAGAGTGGTATGCTTTCGTCTAGTTTATTTTCCAAAGATATTTTTAAAATTTTCTCAATATCTATTCTATGAATGTGCATACAGATTTCCCACCGATGAATCGATACGTAATCAATGGATTCGCAACTTTGATCAACCAAGTTGGAAACCCTAGTCAAGGGACAGATTGTGTTCTGAACACTTCGAAAAGGAATGTTTTGAATTCAAACCCAACTTCAAAGGTTCTAAAACACGGTTGAAAAAAGGTAGTATTCCAACGATCTTCGGACGAAGTAAGGAAAATGAAGCTATGCATATGGAAAACATCAGCAGTAACCCCAAAAAACGTGAGTTTCATTGACAATTTTGTTTTAATACGGTATTTGTTCAAACAATTCACCTCTTAATCATTCTTCGATTGGCATGTGTTTTCAGGTGTAAAATTATCTAATGATATCACGGCCGACAAGTTTCCTTTGCACAGATCTCCCCTCAGGGAAAATTCTGATAACACTTCGATCAGAGGTTAGACATTAGACCTCCTTCATTCTAAATGAGGAGATACTATAATTAAATTATCACATTCATTTCTTTACAGTACAGGGAATGAAGCCATCTATTCTTACTGCGAAGAACAACGTTCCACTTAACCCAACGTCAACATTGTTAGCAACAACTACAGCTCAAATATCATCGAATTCAACGCAATCAACTTAGTCTCATTCAGCAGAATCAACGAGTCAACCAATTTGTAGACAATTGACACCGGCAGGTATGCTCATTATAATGCAGAATTTCTTTCTTTCAAGCATTGACCTAAATCTAGTTTGTTCAAATATTCTATAGTTTTGCATTCTTTAGTTTTTGAAATATAAAAACAAAATTCCTACTGAAATTTTAGATCGAAGTATTTATCGAATTAAACAAAGAGATAGAAGTCTAATTGGTGTCTCCAATATCCAGTGGCAAAGATGAAGCTATCTGACTAATATAAAAAACAATGTTTCAGGTCTGAATCAAATGTTTCGCGGCATCAATAACGATCATACTTATACAGCAGGCACCGATTCACGGAAAACGTTACCAGAAACGAATCCAGAAAAAACAAACAAAATTGCCAAATTGAACAAATTGACAAAGCAGAAGTATGCACGGGCTTGTCAAAAATTGGAACGCTGTAAGAAGATCATTGAAAGCCTTCGTCAAGTACCTGAACTTCAAAATGGTGCGTATTTACCAGGCCATTTTGGGGAAATTCCGGCTGCACTGATTGAACGCATGACTAAGAATGTAAATACAGGTTCATTAACAAAAACTCAATTTCCGCAAGTCCTGAGATGTTTTGCCTTGACAGTGCATTTTTATTCGCCAATAGCATAAACTACGTGCGTAATACTTTCTGTCGTGCTCTTCCCGAGGCTTCTACTATCCGCAAATGGTACAGTACCATTGATGCTGAGTCCGGTTTTTCGCAAGAAAGTTTTAATTCTCTTAAATTGAAAAGTGAAGAATATAAAAAACAAAAAAAAGTCTTATTTGTGGATTGATGCTAGATGAAATGGGAATTAAAAAAGGTTTCCAAAGATCACGTAATGGCAACATACGGGGATACGTGGATGTTGGTAGCGAGAACCTCAATCGCGGGAGTGGTTGTCAAAGTTCTGATGACTTGCGTGAAGCAACTGACGCATTAGTATTACTGGTAGTACCGTTGAATGATAGCTGGAAGCTACCAATAGCTTATTTTTTTTATTGCGGGGCTCAAGTCAGATGCTGAAGTTCATATAATCAACGACGCTCTTCGGCGACTGAACGAAGTGGGCACAGAAGTAGTAGCTTTAACATTAGATGGTCCGGCAGAGCATTTGGCAACAGTTATAAAATTAGGGGCGTCGCTCGAGATGAATGAAACTTGCGTATCGAGCTTTCCTCATCCTACTACAAATAAACCGGTCAATGTGATAATCGATGCTTGCCACGATTTGAAAAACATTAGAAATGCCCTCGAGCATTACAAAGTTATTGTTGATGGTAGTAGTAGACGCATTGAATGGCTTTATATACAAAAATTATCAGAAATCCAGCAACAAGGAGGACTTCGTCTGGGCAATAAACTCCGTACTCCCCATATTGAATTTAAAAAATCTATTATGAAAGTTTATCTTGCCGCGCAAACATTAAGCTCGACCGTTGCAGATGCGATAGAGTTTTGTTCTAAAGTAGATTGTTTGAAAAGTAAATTTGAAGGATCTGAAGCAACGGTTGAATTCATTCGTCACATTGATTACATTTTTGATTTTTTGAATGTAAGAAATCCATGGGGCACCGGGTATAAGAGCCCATTGAAATCAACCAATGAACAGTTTTGGCGTCCAAAAATATTAGAATCTATCAACTATTTGAGTCAGTTGAAACTGTTGAATAATCAACCTATTTCTTTATGTCCCAGAAAAACTGGATTCTTAGGATTTTATACCGCCGTTCTATCTTGCATTTCAATTTTTGATTCTCACGTCAAATCATCCGAAGCTTCTTTGAAATATCTATTAACTTATAAACTAAGTCAAGATCATTTGGAACTTTTCTTCGCCGCTATTAGAAACCGCAGTGGGTGGTGCCTAACCCTACAGCCTCTCAATTTATATCAGCTTACAAGCGATTATTAGTACGTCACGATGTAAAAGTAAGCAGCGGAAATGCTCAAGTAATGGATAATACAAAAATTCTCAATGTTTCTTCTGGTTCTCGACACAAAATAGCGACAGTTGACCGGTATGATATCAATGTCTTCAGCACAGTAGAAAATTCAAGAGTAGAGAAAAAATATGGTTTAGATGGAAAAACATGCACAGTTGTTGCAGGGAACCACGGAGATTTTGAAGACTATTTGAACTTTGCTTGGGCATTTCCTATTGAAATTAATTAATTCTCGAAACAAGCCATTTCATACGTAGCTGGATTTATTATAAAAAAAGCTACCAAAGGTTTTCAAGTGTGATGATTGCCTTACCAGTTGCAAGACATTCTCTCCTGAAACACTTCTAGATAATGCTTTTGTGATAACCAAAAATCGTGGGGGTTTAATAATGGCTTCAAGCAGCGTTATTAATATTTGCATTAACGTGGATAAATTATTTAGGAAAGCTTGTAACATGAATATGGGGAAACCACCGGTGGAAAAGAATTTCCCAGCAGTTCTAGCTCATAAAAGTATTCAAGAAATTCTTTTATCGAAAATCTCATGTTTTCCGGACCTTGAACAACATTGTCAAGAGACGTTTTCTCTCGATAATTGTACTAGTCATAAAGATGTGCTTTTGAAAAACATCGTTAAGAGTTATATTGAAATTCGTATGTATGCTTTCACAAAAAACGCTGCCATTTCTAGCACAGGAACTAATATAACACATTTCTTAACTCGTCAAATAGTTTGGGCACATCAATAGTGCATAATGTGGTACTATCAATATCTTGTGATATTAGAATATTTATTATTGTACGTTAGTTCTTATTAGAAATCTATTAATTGAAAAGAGACTATTGAACTCATGGGACAAGCCAATAGTACGAGCCAGTTTTGACAGTTGTTAGTTTTAACAATATATTAATTTTTCCAAAGAAGCGATAGTCAAGAGAAATATTATTCTGATCTTGATCTATTTCATCGATAATCGCCACTAGTAATTTATATGCGTCTCGTTTGTTTATTTGTTAAAACTTGTGATTTAGTTTTTAGAGTTTTTCTTTTACTTCAAAGAGTTGCTTGGTAATTTTTAGAACTGAATTTAAATTTGAATATTTGATTTTACTGATACAGTTGTTTGGTTGATTTTTTACACGGCATGTTTGAGGTTGATTTGAGGTTTTTCTGCAAATATTAGTTCTATAATTTGAATATTACACGTGTAAGAAGATTGATATTTTACTGTTACACACATTAAGGTCTTGGATATTTTCTATCATACATATCGATTGCCTAATAACAGAGAAGTGTAAGTGCTAAACTGTGAAAAGTGTTTGAGAATAAGCGAAGCGCATTAATCATTGAAGCAGTAATATTTTTAGCATCGATCATCGATTATTCAAGTAATTAGTAATCACAAACATTTTATTATTGACAATTTGGTTATTCAATAATAAAATGATATTGTTTAGTGATTAACCAATTAATCAGTAATTTCACGAAGAAAGATTGATCATTTTTTTTAGTAGATGATGCCATTAGCCACCAAAAAAATCATCAATCTTCAACGCCAAAATTACGCATTAATTGGTTAATCAGTATAACGAAGATTATTTTATTATAAAACAATTAAATAATCAATAACTAAATATTTGTGATGAATAATTAATTGAATAATCGATAGTTTTTCGAGGACAATTACCGATTGATTGAATAATCACAAACAGAATTATTAAAATGACAAAATACTCAAATAATCGTTAATCTCATTATTGTGATTAATGATTAATACAATAATCATCAACTTCCATGCGGTCTATTAACGATTACTCAAATAATCTATTAATCATTAATGTACTATTGACATTATGCCGATTTTTGCTCCGCCGTTCATTCTCAATTCAGGGTTTTTTTCTTTGAAAATGAGTCGGCTACTCTATTATTAGGCCTTCGATTTGTAACAGGACTATATTTTTTGTTATACACATGTGAGATGATTAATATTTTCTATTATCTATGGACTATTTTCTCATATAATTTTCATTTGTTCTTTTTTCCATTAAATCTATTCAAGAGATTTTTTTCATTCTTCATTTTTTATTTATAATTTCTTATTCCTTCCTGTTTCTTCTGGCATTGGTACGCACACATTGCATTTTCTCATCACAGTCATCGGTGGATAGTTAGAATAGAAATGAAAAACTTTTCTAATGAAAAGAATTTGTGTTTATTTTAGCTTTGCGCGAAGTACTTGAGAACAATTTCCAAAATATTATTTATGACGATACAGTTTCTATGCAGAACTAATTTGAGGAAATTTTGAGCGAAGAAAGAAGGTAAGAGACTATTAGACGATTAATCTACCAATCTTATTTTCTACGCTAACAAGTATATAAATAAAAATGCTATATTTCTTTCAGAGTTGGTGGGATCATCCTCTAGGAAAAAACCTCATCATGGCGCGAGTTCTCAGTTAATTTAATTGCCTTCTTAAATTGTACATATATATTTTTTTTTACCCTTTGCTGAGTGAATTCTACAGTTGTTTCATATAAAATAAAAAGCGACATAAAAGCAATGCACCTTATCAATTCAATTATTGACCTATTTCCATTAGATCCAAGGACAAGTGAAAAGTCTTATACCGTGTACCCATTTTAAAAGTATTAAAAAAGTTATTTTTTGTATTCTTTGAATGTGCACACATAGTTTTTCAATGTTCTTATGAGCCTCCTTGCTTGCTTCAATGTTTGTGTTGTATAAGCAAGGTTTTTGCATTAAATTTAATCTATTTTCTTTGAATTGTGCATACAAAATGATACCGAGAATATTTCCATTGCTTCGATGGTCAAATGACCATCCCCACTACTCATTTCAAACTCACGCATGTGCACAGGAGTTGCATTTCGTTCCGCGGCCCACAACCAGACAGCATTGGCGTAGCTCCACTCCGCCTGAACTTTTTTGGCCTATGCCCTATCCAGTCATATATAGAGATGAGTGCAGTTCACCCAGCCGTAGTCGAGAGTGGGGGTACATCGGCACTACTGCTGACACTGCCCACTCACTCGGCAGAGCCGCTTCGGCTGGCTCCCAGTGCGGACCAATGGCAGCTCTCTCTCGAGCCCTTAGCTGGCTCCCAATGCCCAGCATTGGTCTTCTGCGCTCTCTAGGTGAGGATCATCCTCTCCCCGGGAGCACTCTCTGTGTGAGGGCAATACCCTCCTCGGGTGGTGTTCTCTAGGTGAGGGCCATGTTCTTCCTGGTGATGTTCTCTGGGCGAGAGTCACCCTCTCCTCAGTTAGGCTCTCTACATTTGGGGTTACCCTAGTGGGCCCGTCACGCTCTCGATAGTGTGCTATTGGGTGAGTAATCCCCACGCTCTCGTCCTGCCGGCACTCCCCTATCTTACGTCGCTCTCTCTGCGAGATGTTCTCAGAGGTCGCCCTCAGCGTCCCCGAACCCCGCAAGTATGCTCTCGGTATCCCGAAGCACCATCTGTTCTCTGTATCATTTTTCGGTTTAGATTTCGGTTATTAGAGTCGCGTATCCGTGGACCCTGGCCCTCTCTCCACGACCTAGCATCCTGAGCAACCCAGTTCTTCCCGCTTCCGTTCCATTCGTCATCGGCTTCTAGCTTCTCGCGGGTAGTTTTACGGTAATGAGGTTATCGTTCTAGTTCTAGTGGATTTATGGATTTACGGATTTTGTGTTGTCGCGAGGAGGAGTTCCAACCCCACTCGTCCTGTCCTTTCGTGCTCTTGTTTTTGGATCTTTCGGGATTTTAAGTTTGTTGAGGTCGGCTGACCTCGGGCAAGGCAGGGCACCCCCCCCCCCCCTCCGTGCCTTTGTTTCGGTTCTTTCGGTTTTCGTTAGCTTTTGGCCCATAAAAAGCTAGCTGGCGCCCGCAGTAATTCGGTTGGATTTTAGGATGCGAGCACGGGAACGGCCGAAGGTAATAACTATCACCGATCTTCGGGACGAGATCGGGGAAAAGTGTTACAATGTAAAATTAAGGAAAAAAATCTATTGATTGATAATTGATAGATAATTCATCTTGTTCATTACACTCCTGTTAAAAAAATTGATATGCTTGCAAAAAAAGTGAAATCCTATGAAAAAATCACAAAAAACTAGTGTGAAAAAATATTGCCAAGTGGTGGTTTTATTGTATGATCATATTTTCCCAAAAAATATTCTCAGTTCTATTGACGAAAAAATACGTGAAATGAAAAAGACGCCAAGCATGTCGGTCACAAATCATATTGATTAGAGGGACTTAACATCTGAAGTGACTGAGTCCAGTAATGTAAATGAATGGAAAGGTCGCCATTGGAAATACTAAAAAACAAAAAGCCCTCTACAAATTGGTGGCTTGAGAATACACATAGCTGATACATGTTGTGTTATGCCCATGTGTAAGCTGACTTTTATTCATGTGCGAGCACTCTTAAATGAACGATCTTGACGAAACTAGCACCACTAACGGTAACTAGCTTCGCCAATCGCCAATTCGATTTTCGGAAAAAAGCCCACTTGGCGCGCCCGGTTTTGGTGTAAATCAGTCACACTTGACACCTTCCATCATAACATAATGTGTAATACAGTGTCGAGAAGGAAAACGGTAACTAAACAAGGATATATCTTAGTTGACACTGTGTCCCTCTGTGGCCCTTGATGCGAAATACCGATTGTTACCGATCAATTCATTAGAGAAGAACGCATCACTACTTCATCATTAGATTGCAACATTACTGACCTGGTGTAATCAAAATTCTCACTTGATTCAAATCAATATAATATTCAAATATATTATTTACAGTTAATTTCACGATTGACCGTCCATTCAGGATATTTTACAATCGAATATTTTTGAAGTGACTATGTCACCAAACTTTGAACTAATTTCGGAGAATGTACAATATTTTCCCCGGAATTTGTTGTTGCTTTCTAGACGTTCGATACCCATATATGAACTATTCAATTACCCATATGTTTTTTTTTTGAGGTATACACAGAAGACTAGGCACGCCAAGTGGACTTTTTTCCGAAAATTGGCGGTTAGCGAAACTAGTTACCGTTGGTGGGGCTAGTTTTGTCAAGATCGTTAATTTAAGAGTGCTCGCACATGAGTAGAAGTCAGCTGACACATGGGCATATGAGAACATTTATCAGTTATGTGTATTCTCAAGCCGCCAATTTGGAGAGGGCTTTTTCTTCTTTAGCGTTTCCAATGGCGACCTTTCCATTCATTTACATTAATGGACTCAGTCACTTGAGATGTTAAGTTCCTCTAATCAGTATGATTTGTGAACGACATGCTGGGCGTCTTTTTCATTTCACGTGTTTTTTTGTGAATAAAACTGAGAATATTTTTTAGAAAAATATGATCATACAATAAAACCTCCACTTGGCAAAATGTTTTCACAAAAGTTTTTTTACAATTTTTTCCTAGTCTCGTAAACTTTGTATTTACTGATCTATATAGAGTACACTGAGATGAACATTTTCAAAAATAAATGAAATCGGTTCCTTAATTTGTCAGATATTTATCGAAAAATTTTCAAAAGCCATCATCGATATTTCGATAACTGCGCCAATTGGACTGGAATTTAGCGCAGATCGAATTCATATTAAGACCTGTGAACTATCAAAATTTTAGATGTTTGGGAATTCATTTACCCGTTTGATCTGTTCCATCTGTAGAAATTAACCATTAGTTTACCATCTGCACACACACATAAATTTTCACCTCGATTTTTTGTTGATCGAAATTCATTCGCCCTCTATTTTATCCCGTCACTCCGTTCTCCTTAATTTTTTTCTAGTTTTTGTTAGCCAAGTATAAAATATTGTGATTGATTGAAAAAATATCGTGCCGCGCAATTCCTTGTACAATTTATTGTCGTATTTAAAAGTGCTTTTAGTTTTTCGCTCACAATTTTCGAAGGTTCTTTTCACACCAATTGAAATTCAAATGCGACATGTTGCGCGATTTAAATCTATTTCATCGCATACCATGTCATAATATTTTTATTTCAAGTGTATTTTGATGAAGTGTGTAATGAAATATAATTTTTTCCAGCAGATAGGCATTTCAGAATATGTTCTATTGTACACGCCGAAAACGCTATACTGACAAGACGAGATTTAGAATGTAATCTACGGCATTCTTCATCGCGTATATTACCGGTTGGAAAACGTAAATTACGGGCTCAAAGCACGTAAATCACACCCAGAAATGCCGTAAATTACGATTTTTATATCGCAAATTACGAGGTCGATCTCGTCAATTACGATTTTTATATCGTAAATTACGAGGTCCATTTCGTCAATTACGATTCCCAACTCATAAATTATGAGGACCCATATGGTGAATTACCAGTGTGGTCCTCGTAAATTTGTAACAGGAGGACCGTAATTTTCCTTCCACGTCAATGGCAGTTCTAAATGTAATCGGAAATCCTAGCCAAACCGCCATAGGGCTCATGTATTCGAAAATTAATTCTATTGCTCACAGATATCCGCCTCACATTTGTAATTTTATATTTAAACTGGGCGTTAGAAAATTAAGTCGATATTAAGGTCACAGGCGCCGAATTATCGATTAACCGAGAACTCACTCTTACCCTCGCCAGAGGCGCATCAAGGAGGTCCGAGGCCCCTGGCGGAAGCAATCTTGAGGCCCTCTAATTATAAAATAGGTGACAGAAAGAACTAAAAAAGTCGAACGTAAATATTTTTATTTTCAAAACAACAAAAAGACTCGTTTTCATAAAGTAGAATAAACGTCAATCGCATAACAGATTGCCTAATAAAACTGCCTATCTCTTTTCTAATGAAAAAATTAAATGAATTTTTTCCTCGATTTCTCTCTAGAAAAATCCTCAATAATCTTTGGAGTGCTAATCTCATTCAAAATGTTCTGCTCAATATATAATAAGGCCACACTGTTCAGCCTGTCTTCTGACATGGTACTTCTCAAGTAATTTTTCACTCGTTTCAATACGGAAAAAGATCGTTCTCCCAATGCATTGCTGATAGGAATGGTAAGGAAGATTCTTAAAATAATTTCTATATTGGGAAACGTTGATGCCATATCTTTGGCAGCCTGATACTTGTACGGCAGTCCTGCATTCATCTGCATTGTTTTCTCTGTTCAAAAAGAGGAGAAATTGCTCCAATTCATCATGCAGATGAATAACATCTATGTCATCCTTGTAAATTTCTATCAGCTTTTCTATGCAATCCCTACGCTCTGAACTCAGCAGATCCAAATCAAAGAAAACACGGAAGTTCTCTACAGTTTCACGGTATACATGCCCTCTGCGAACAACTTCAGCTATCAGATTATCACAAATTACATTGAATGAATCGAAAATGAATTTTTCTCGTGATGTGAATGATTGGCCTTCATTTTGATTCCCGTTCTGGTCCTCGTCAGGAAAAGCTTTCCTTTTCCGAGGTCTACCAATTTGACTCTGCTCTTCAAAAGATAATGAAGTCATCTTACTCGCTT